ATATCTCTATACACTCACCTAACATTCAAAACTGCAAAATCAGATGATGAAAAAGCTTAATATTTAAATACAATCTTTTCATATTTTAATACTTAATTTTTGCTTAAAAATCAAATTATTCAAAGCGTAATATCACTTTCTATTTCAAAATGACTTAACTTTTGGGCTACCATCCTGCAATCAAAGCTCATAGCCAACGCCTCCTGCACTACTATGGTTCTCCTCTGAAGCGCCCCACTCTCCAAAGCCAAGTCCGCAAAACCAAGAACATCAGAAGGATGAAGGATGCTGACGCATCCTAGCTATATCAAAGCCAGCGCAAATCATCCGTCAAGATTCATAAACGTGACGATTACCCGCCGATTGTAGGAAGAATTTTGTAAGCGAAACATGCCAGATAAACGTGCTAGAAGGCATTTCTCACAGTTAAGCGAGTTTGAGAGATGCCTGATCATCCGGATGAAAACTGCAGGCTGGTCGACGCGCCGTGTTGCTGGCCAGGTGGATCGTTCGGAATGTGCCGTTAGAAATTGTTGGGAGCAGTGGACACCAGAAGGTACCCAAGCGTGGAAAACCGAGTCTGGAGCGACCAAGAAGACCACGAGAAGAGAGGATCGATGGATCGTGCGGCAAGCACTTGTGGACCCCACAGTGACTCGTTCAACGATACGAGCAGACGTAGGCGTAGCAATTGTTCCACAAACAATTTCCAGACACCTTGCCGAAGCAAATTTTAAATCCACGCGAACTTTCCGTGCACTCCCTTTAACACCGGAACATCGGCAACTGCGTCTACAGTGGTGCCAAGACAGTGGATCAAAGTGGGATGTTACAGATTGGCAAAAGGTTGTGTTTAGTGATGAATCCCAGTGTGTTTTGGGGACATATTACACTGCCGGCACAGCTGTTGTAATGGTCTGGGGGCCATAGCCTATGATAGCCGGTACACTTTAATTGTGATGCGTGGAACCTTAACGGGCCAACGTTACGTTGATGATATTCTTCAACCCCATGTAGGACCTTTCGTAAATGGTCTCCCAGAGGCAATTTTCCAGCAAGATAATGCTCGTCCGCTTACAACAAGAGTTGCTCAAGACTTCCTACGTCATTTTCAGACTCTTCCATGGCCGGCCAGCTCCCCGGATTTTTCCTCTGTAGAGCACGTGTGGGATCAGCTGAAACGGCAGATGCCATCGTGTCACTCTGTACATGATTTAGAGTTGGCTGTTCAAGATTTGTGGGCCCATCTGCCTCAGAACAACATAAGGTGTCTAATCAACTCAATGCCGAACCGTGTGGCGGCATGTATTGCAGCTGGAGATGGTCCAACGCGCTATTGAAGTTGCCCAGTATTTGTGTCGTTGCACACCTTGTATTCATTTAATTGTCTTGTTTTTGAGATCAAGGGAATCTCTCATCTGTGTCATTATGTGTATTAAATTTCATTTCGATCCGATGCTTTCTTCTTGGGTTGCTATTTTCAATGTTCCTGATTGTATACATATGACAAAATCATAACATTAATTAGTAATTAATTTTTATTAATTATCATTAATGTATCGTATTATCATCCAAAACAATTGTGTCTATAAAATTTCAGTTCAAGTGAATGCTTTGAAACATGAGAAAAAAACCTTTTGAAGTTTTGACACAAGTCGCCAAAAGAGTCGCTATGTCGCCAAAAATTATGCCAACGTGTCTGTATTTGTAATTTTTTTAAATAATTAGTTTTAATCAATTAATTTTTATTAATTATAATTAAATTATTGTATTGTCATCCAAAATAATCATGTATATAAAATTTCAGCTCAATTAAGTGCTTTAAAATATATTTAATTTTCAATTGAAAATTACACCAAGATAAATAAGTAAATATATAGAGAATGTGAGCGAATAGTAAGAATTGAAAAAAAATATATTGTCATAACTCAACATGAAATACTCAGCGAAGCAGTAGAGTAACGGATAATTTCTTATAATTTTGGACACTATAGTAAAGGAAGAATTCCCCAATATGCATTGCAGTCAGATTAGTGCGTGTTTAACAATACCTTCTTTGACCACAAAACAAGCCACTGTCAGAAAAACAGAAACCTCCCGGTTTCTTTTGGCTGCATTTGGAATACGTAATTTACTGCGTTCAGTCTATCGTATACTAAATATGTGGATGGACGTGTTTTTGGTTGGCAAAAATCACCTCTCAACTGATATAAAAGAGCTGAGACAAATTTATAATCATATGTTTAGCGTTACATACTTGCATTTTTAGACACTTAATAGTTGTGTCTGAGAACCTCCTGGAACTTATTGTGTGAATTTTATTGTTATATCCTGTTACTGCAGGAATGAGTTTCGACAATAAGTTTCATCGCTCTTGGAGAACTGTTTTGCGCGTTCAGACTGGAGGCATAACACTACTATAGATCTAATACTATTATAGAAATATTCTGTAAGTCTACCGGATAGGCCAACCGATCTGCGCAACACTATTGAAGGAATGTAGTGTCGGTCTATCAAATAGGCCGCTCGATCTACGCAACACTATTCTAGGAATATAGTGTAGGTCTGTCGGGTAGGCCACCCGACCTATGCAATATTACTATAGAAATGTAGTGTATGTTTATCGGGTAGGCCACCCGACCTAGGCAACACTATTGAAGGAATGTAGTGTCGGTGTATCGGATAGGCCACTCGATCTACGCAACACTATTCTAGGAATATAGTGTAGGTCTGTCGGGTAGGCCACCCGACCTATGCAATATTATTATAGAAATGTAGTGTATGTTTATCGGGTAGGCCACCCGATCTATGCAACACTATTGAAGGAATGTAGTGTCGGTGTATCGGATAGGCCACTCGATCTACGCAACACTATTCTAGGAATATAGTGTAGGTCTGTCGGGTAGGCCACCTGATCTATGCAATATTATTATAGAAATGTAGTGTATGTTTATCGGTTAGGCCACCCGACCTAGGCAACACTATCATAGAAATGTAGTGTTGGTCTATCGGGTAGGCCACCCGTTCAGTGCAACACTTTTATAGGAATTCAGTGTAGGTCTTTATAAGGGAGCATACAGATTTCTTATTATCTTTTTCAGTTAAATGATATAATTACGAAATCTTATCTAACATTTTGTAATAGCCCAAAATAAATTTTGCATGGGAAATATTAACAATAAATCAATAACAGAATGGAACAAGACCAACACATCACCTCAAACATCGACTTTATTATCTTCAAAAATATATTTTTCAGACATTTCTAGATTCCTTTTAATATTACAGGCTATTTTCCATTTTAAAATTCAGGAAAGATTTCTATTCCTGGCGTATAATAAATATGATCCCCCAAAGCATCAAAATGGTACCTTTATTTTAGAAAACTTCATTCAAATTTTTGAATCGAAAGTAAAGCTTCAGATATAATTGAATTATCTACTTTGAATGATAATGTCTTTAATCCAGAGTATCTTAAGTGAATTTGCATTTTTAAATGTACGTGGATCCTGAATAATATTAATTAATAATTCTGTGGATATTAATTAAAATTTGTACAGATTTAAAGAGGAACAGGCTTAATTCTATCGAAGGACTGAATTCGGAAGATAATACATTTTCAACTGGTATTTCATGTGCTTTTACTTATTCATAAATAAATGAATTATTTCACTTAATCAAAAGAATCCCGTGATTAATTAGAAATATAGCAGTTTAGAGTTACTTCAGGGGCTAGGAAAAGTGCTATGAATTATAATAGTGTGTTATCTTATGACCATTAAAAATTCAGAGTAATAATGTAAAATGTCTCAAATGAAAGTTAACAGCGCGAGAGGATAATTTATAATTCGTTTTTATTTGCTTCTCAAAAGATAATTTTATGTAATGATGGACTTTAGAAGACTCTGTTTTAGTTATAATATAATATCCATTTTATATATATATATACTACTGAATCAATATGCTAATAATACAGAGTGTTACCGAATTCGACCGACAAATTCTGAGGGTTGATAGTAGGCAGGATGGGGACGATAAACCAACGTAGAGCATGAAATCGCAAACTACGTTTAGTGGGGGAAAATCGCGATAATAATAGCCGTTGGGAGGATGATATGCCAGACGAGGAAAATGACCAAACAAATGCGGGGATATCGAGCTTCGTGGTAGGGTTGAAGAAACCTGCACGCATACAAATATCCTCCTTTCGCAGGAGTTGTTGCGTGTAGTACCGGTCATTGCACACAAGAAAGTGTAGTTCATACACGAACATTTTTCGATTGTGGTGCATAACCATTTCCGTACTACATGTTCCGGGAAGTGGATTTGACGTGACATACCTATTACTTGGCCTCCACACTCAAGGACCTCAATTCCTTGGATTTCTTCTTCTGGGGCTATCTGAAATCGCTTGTGTAAGAAACGCAGCCCAGTGCAGGATCTCGCGTCATAGATTATCGACGCTTCAGTTGATTTCGCAGTACACCGGATTTGTTTGAAAGCATCCGACAATCGTTCGCCCATCAGAGGCTGTGCTATGACCTACGCGGCCGCAGCTCCGAATAATTTAAGTGACTATCATTTTTCGTTGCGTTTCTGACATCCAGCTGGGACGCATAGTGTGTATTGTAAACATGCTTTACGTCTAATAATTGTATTTCTTACAATTTACCGTTTATTTTCATTCCACTCCGAAATAACTTTCATAACTATTTTTGCAAATTGCTCCACTAAATGACCCCACATTCTATGGTGATTTGTCGTCCTAATGCTGCTTACTATGACCCTTCTGAATTTTTCGGTCGAATTCGACAACGCTCTGTATATAGATTATATAAAGGACACACACATTACCCTGATTTAATCAACAAAATGCCCAAACGTTTTGATGTAATAAATATTAAATCGATATTTTAAAAAATAGCTTCTAAAATCATATTATTTGAAGAAAATATATAAATATTTTTAAAAAATACACGGCTAAAAAGAAGCATGAGACCTGGAGGAGCGGGGATTCGAACACCGGGCCTTTCACATGCGAAGCGAACGCTCTACCACTGAGCTACACCACCGTTACATTTCAGTAAAGGAATGTGAAGTATCAGATCGTATTAATATTGATTTTGTATACAAAGAAGCAGGTGAAACTAGCTATTTAGCTGTTCCGTAAGCAGATAATCACGCGGCATGCGTACATGGATGGATAGGAAGAATGGTAAAGGTGCAATAATATCGAAAAGGAAAATCTGCTTTGTGACTTAGAATTTGATTAGTAGTCTCATAAATTCAAGTTATTCATGGATTAAAAAAATAACGCCATTGAAAACTCTCCATTTTGAGATGCTAAGACACGTTAAATATCTGTCAAGGCTCAGAGTCATTCCATTGGCATACTTTACGTGTAATAAATGTATTTCTTACTTATTTATGGCCTCTTTTCTTTCCACTCGACATCATACCCTTCATAACTGGTTTTGCAACTTACTTCACTAAAGGTGTGGTTTGTGACCCCATATTCTATGGTGATTTGTCGTCCCCATGTTGCCTACTACCACCCCTCTGAGTTTGTCGGTTTAATTCGGCAACATCCTGAATATTAGAGAAAATATATTTTCGGTTCACTCTTTAGTTACCAAAAGCTCGAAGATTGCTCAACAACCTTCTTTAATTTATATCAACAGTTAAACTTAATTCGTGCTTCTTTACTCATTATTTGTGATAGAAAAAAGTACATTAATTTATAAATTTAATTGTTTAACTTCTTTATTTTACCGTAAGAAAAGAATTGGTGTTTTTTTGTTTACTTTTTTAAAAACTTTATTTATAAAATTCATTTTTATCGACTGTTGAGTTCCAACGTTTCTCAGTTATTTATTCTCTTAGAAAACATGAACACCATTTTCAATATTTTGAAAGTGTTAGAAATATTAACATGCTTTTTTTTATTAATAGACAAATCTATAACATCGATAAATATATACAAATTGAAATGCTAGGGATATTTGTTAAATTTATTGAAATGTTAGTGTAATGACTAGGGATTGCAATATATCGGACTAAAACTCCAATACCGGTATTTGGTATTTCTTAGATCTTAATTCCGGGTTACCCTTTTTAATACCGGTAGTAGAAATTTTAGGGAAAAAAAGAAAACACATGTGTATATTTTTGTTTATTTGCCGGTTGCTTTATTAGAGAGCGTAAGTATCACAAAAATAATTTGTAAATTATAAATTATAACAGTATATAAAGAATCACAAAAAAGAAAAGAAACATATTTACACTGTGCCACCATATTCTTTTTATCATATGAATCATGAAACGAAACCAAAGTATTATCAAATGATTTTTATGTTCTTTAAATTTATTCTTATTCATAATTATGGGTTATCATTTATATAATGAATCTGAAAAATATTTTGAACCCTTAAGTATGATATGCAAATACAATGAGAATAACAAACTCAACAATTTAAAATATATTGAAATATTACTCACTTTGTTCACAACCTTGTTTTCACAGATACGAGTATCAGACTACGAATCCTGCGCATGTGCAGTATCGCTCTGAGCTGTTTTGACCCCTCTCCTTGGATGATTGTCATATTTTATCACTTCTCTTTATTGTACAGTGCAACTTTATATCCCCAGTCTAATTAATTTCGCCGGTTAGGGCGACACACAAAGAAAAACGTATACTTTTTTGCTATGTTAGCGATCCCTGAACATATGATGGAGACAATTTTAAAAGATTTCTAGTAAATACCGAAAAACCGTTATTTAAACTTGTGAATACCGGTATTACAAAATTGTACAAATGGCTCAAAATACCGGTATACCGGTATTGCAATCCCTTGTAATGACATATGTTTATGATCAGAAAATAAGTTGGTGCTTTAAATGGGGCATATGAAAGCTGTTACAATGTTCTTGAGATGCGCAATACATTAATAGTTTATTGTGTAGTAAACAAAAAAAACTATGTATAATCAAAATTTAATACAAATGTGCATTTTTTAAAAACAAGTTTAGAGAAAACATAAATATAGTTGCGTCTGTTCAAGTGTACGATGTTTAAAGATTATGTGTAGGTAAGTACACCAGATTTTTACTTATGCACAAATAGCATTATTGTTGGAGACTATATATATTTAGAATAACGTAGATAAAAATATATAACTTGGAAGTAATGAATGCACTCAAGGTCTAATGAAAGATTGAATCCTATGGTTGTTCAAAAAGTTTCATATTTTTTTAGTGTTCCCAAATTTTTTTATCATTGAGTCTTGAAGGAAAATTGTTACATTCACAAAAAATCGATGACATCGACACACATTGCATCATTTACCACATGTACCCAGTACTCTTAAAATATATTTTATGATATTTATATTCTTGTCTCTCTGTATATAAATCTAAACAAACAAAAGCTCGAGAAGCAAAACTTGAGATTAAGAACCATCGTATACCGGATGGGATATGTAAGAAGCCCCAAAATCTACAGATAATTGAAAAACTGATTGAAGAACAAATGGTAATTTGTTTTGCTGTTATACATTGAGGCTGTTATAAGAATGAAAATATAACAATAGCCCTTTTTTCAGATCGAACGTTTATTTGTCGAGACGATAAAAAAAAAGGTTCAAGTAAAAGTTTGGATGGTTGGACAAATATAAGGATATCTCTTCAGATAAAAATAAAAAAATATTCTTACACAATTATCTTGGAGGAAAAATTTCATGTCTTAATCCTAAGCTACAGTTTAGCTACAACTGAGGTTAAATTCCACTTTAAATGTTCTCAAATGTTAAATTTAAGCATGTAGAGTAACTTTTAGGAAGTGATTTATTTTGTTACCGTTATACGCCAAGCAGCCAAATAATTAAGAACATCTGCTCAAAAATGTATTGTACCACTTTTGATTTGCAAAAAAGCTACAACGCATTGGCACAGATACCACAGGTTCTTGGTAGATGCTTAGAGACAGATTACACCAAATGTCTAAGCTGTGGTAGTTAAAAGTCGAGATGTTCTGACATGGTGGTGTTTGATATCTGAGCTGCCTTCTTATGGAAGCCCAAATGTGATTTATAAGATTAAGATACAATAGGTTAGATGATCAGGACATTCATTGGAATTCATCATTAGGTTCCTCGAACTACTACAACACAATTTGAGCTGTGTGACAAGGGCCGTTGTCCAACTACAAGATGCCATTTCTATTTGGGAAAATAGACACCGTATAAGACATCGACTGATCTACAATTAGGTTCAGCTAGTACACAGCATTTGTGGTTCATTCTACCACAACTAAAGGTACCAGAGACACCCATGGGGACGTCCTCAAAAGCAGCATAATACCGCCACTACTGGTAATGTCATCGTCCACAGACATTAAATTAGAAACATCAATAATGAACATCATTTAATTTTAACAATAAATTTAATATTTATTTTGTCTCAGTATTATAAGTACTAGACACCTTCAAAGCGTGAAGCGCTGCCTTCGGAAGTACAATATAAAACAGAGAAACAAAGTTTTCTACTTACCTAAGCATTCAGACCACCTTCTGGCGGTTACAATTAAAAATTCGTTAGGGAATTCTTAACAATCACCAGTCTGTGTACATGGAGGTAGCAACTGCTCGATTGGAAGACAGTGCACCCTGACACAACACCATCTACGTGATGGATAAGAAATCAAGAATTAGCCAACCAATCAACTCTCTTCCCCTTTCTATTGCCCACTGTCAATGTTTCTAAACCCACTGTAAGTGTATTTGGTAGTGACGATAGATCAACAGAGACTCAGAGACGTCTTGCTACACATAGAGAACAGTGTTCGCGGAACTGTGTGTTCCATTATCCTTGTACTCGAGCCTGTGTCGTATTGAATACACACAGCCATGAGCTGAATTTTCTATACCAAGTAGTTCAGACTCTGGCGTCCTTTTTCTTTGATGACCCTAGGAAGTCCGACAATTTTTAGTCAACTGCTCCATTCATCATCATTTATCCACTTGCAGAAATACTAAAACTAGCAGATGTTGAACAACCTACAAGTTGTGCTGTTTCGAAGATACTCGTTCCGAGTCTTCGGTTCATTGCAATCTATCCTCTATCAAATTCGCTTAGATCATTACCCTTTCCAAACACTTACGGATTAAAAGAAATAATGATTTCTTACCTTCTCCAGCAACAGTTAAACATTGTTTCTTCTAAATGACATCCTCCACAACATCCAGACGCGTTATGTGAAAAATGTGGATGTTCATAATGTTTTGTCTCGACAGTGTATTTCGATTTATTAAGCGCACTTTTAACAAAACAAGTAATATAAAAATTTTTTTTAAAATTATTTCCTACTCAGATCAACAAAGAAATTTTTTATTTTAACTACTTTTTATTAAATAGTTACAATTAATATAAATATGACGGAATCACAACATAAAGTGGTAATTAATTTTTATTAATTATGATTAAAGTATCGTTTTGTCATCCAAAATAATCGTGTCTATAAAATTTCAGTTCAACTGAATGCTTTAAAACGTGAGAAAAAACCTTTTCAAGTTTTGACACAAGTCTCCAAAATGGTCGCTATGTCGCCAAAAATGACGCCAAAGTCGCTGTATTTGTAATTCTTTAAATGAATAGTTTTAATCAATTTATTTTTATTAATTATAATTAAATTATTGTATTGTCATTCAAAATAATCATGTATATAAAATTTCAGCTTAATCGAGCGCTTTAAAATGTGACTTATTAACGATTGAAAAATCCACCAAGATAAATAAATAAATACATAGAGAGTGTGAGATATAATAGTAGGAATTAAAACATAAGATTGAAGATATAAGAAAATAAGAGGATGCGAAATAATAGCTTTAAAAATAAAGAAAAATTGAGTATAAGAAAGTATATTTCAGCATATATGTTTAAGTACTGTTTATCTAAAATAAATTACATCTTATGATCTTTCACTATTGATAACATGAAAAGTTCGTCATACTCGTCTTCCTTTATAACTTGATGCCCATCGTTGAATTCTGTGTTTCATATTTTCATCATTGTC